AATAACAGAGTTGGAAGGGATCTTGGAGATCTTCTAGTCCAACTCCCTGCCTAGGCACCTAAACCACTTCAGGCAAATGGTTATCTAATCTCTTCTTATAAACTTCCACTGCTGGAGCATTTACATTCTGGAGGCAAATTGTTCCACTGATTAATTTTTCTAACTGTCAGGAAATTTCTCCTTAGTTCTAAGTTGCTTCTCTCCTTGATTGATTTCCACCCATTGCTTCTAGTCCTACCCTCAGGTGGTTTGAAGAATAGCTTGACTCCCTCTTCTTTGTGGCAGCCCCTGAGATCTTGGGACATCGCTATCATGTCTCCCCATGTCCTTCTTTTCCTTAAACTAGACATATCCAGTTCGAGCAACCGTTATGTTTTATCCTCGAGTCCCCTAATCATCTTTGTTGCTCTTCTCTGCACTCTTTCTTGTCTCCACATCTTTTTTACATCCTGGCGACCAAAATTGGATGCAGAATTCCAAGTGTGGCCTTACCAAGGCATTATAAAGTGGTATTAACATAATAGAACTGATTGTTCAATTTGGAAGTATTAGGATACAAAGAATGAACAACTTGATCTTTTCTTCTCTTCATATAATTTATAAATTTATATAATTTGTATAATTTACAATTTTGTTTTCTTATCTACTCATATTAAAGCCATGAAATTACATATTGTATTATCTAATTGTTTTGTTAACACTCATGAAAAACGTTTGGAAATCGCTTTTGATTGATAGAAGCTAAACTTCACTTTGGGTTGATAGTAGCTAAACATGAGGGAAGGAAGGAATCTCTATGCACTTCTGCTGTACAATTTGTAAGAAACTAAGCGAGTCTATCAAAGAAACAGGAAAATTCATGGTGAATTTCAATATTTATTTATTGTGGCAATTAGAAAGATGGAAGAGATGGTTGTATTATAAAACTAATTGCAAAAGTGTCAATTGTAGTGAAATCCGAGGTGGCGCAGTGGTTAGTGCGCTGTACTGCCACTTCAGCTGACTGTTATATGCAGTTCGGCTGTTCAAATCTCACCGGCTCAGGGTTGACTCAGCCTTCCATCCTTCCGAGGTGGGTAAAATGNGGAAGTTACTTACTTCCGGGTTCGCCGACCAACCGGTTCGCAGGGACCGCTGCGAACCGGTTGAAACCCACCCCTGTAGTGAAACTATTTTTTTCTCTCTGTCTTTTCTGCAATTCTCAGAAAACAAACGCAGGGAAGTTAAGTGGTGTTTAAATCCAAACCACAAAATTTTGCCTTGACTAAATAAGAATCCTTTATCTTATTACAACACTTGAGGGATAAATTGCATTTAAAAACATACAATTCTGTTCAAGAGTTGACATAATAAACATCCCACAATTAAACGGTTATAATATGATTTGCCCTCCCTTGTGGTGGGAAAGTTAATCTATATAAAGCTGCCCTAAATACATTTTAGCAAAGGAGAGGGAGAAGTGCACTTAGGGGAAACAGATTTCCATTAGGAAAAAGAACAAGAGCGAGAGAGAATAAAGGGGGGGGGAAGGAACCTTCCAAAACCTCCTTCAAAACTTGAATGTTCAAAGAGATCAACATGGAACAACAATGTAGAGGGTTTAAATATTTGGGATGAGATGGAGAACATATTGAAAGCATGTGTAGCCTCATGTTCGTTCCGAAAGACAATATTTAGCTAGCCAAACGGAAAAAGAAAGCCTGGGACCAACTTATTTGGAAAGGGAAAGGAAAGAGAAAATCCAGAATAATAGAATAACAGAGTTGGAAGGGACCTTGGAGGTCTTCTAGTCCAACACCCTGCTCATGCAGCTAACCCTGTACCATTACAGACAACAGGTTTATAGAGTGGAGGGCAGTAACTCCCAAATGCTCTTTTTTGCCCTTGGAGGAATTTTGGAAAGAAATGGTTAAAAGGCCTTGAGGGCATAGGATCTAGGTTGCCTATGCCTGTTGTATGGCCTCAATTAGCCCCGTGTGAAGTGAGTGTGTAGACAATGTTCAGTAATAATTTCAGTAATAATTCAGTAATTTCACGAGAAGAGTGAAATTCACTCCTCTGCTCACAACAGAATCCCTTATGCCACCAGGCTTGAAATTTTCGACTTGGACAATCTGGAACTGCACCGCCTGGGGTCGGACCTCAGCGGAGTACACAAAATTGTCTGCTACAACGTCCTACCTGTCAACAACTACTTCAGCTTCAACGGCAATGATATATGGGCAAACAATCAATACAAACGCACGGTAAACAGTTCCAAACTCGATTGCAGAAAACAACAACAGAGTTTTAGTCCATATCATATAGAGCAGTGTGGGCTAACCTTTTTTTGTTGCATGCTAAAAGTGCATTTGTGCATGCGTGACAGGGGGCGCCCGCATCCATAATGCAATTCGTGCTTGACATCCCTCCCCGCACTTCACTCCTGTGCATGCGTGCACAATCCTCCTTGTGCCCCGTTTTGGATGTCTAGTAGACCTTCCTGCAGCCTCCTGGGACCCAAAATGGGCCACAGGAGTTTCCCGCCCCTGCACTCCCCCCGCCCCCACATATGTGTGCGTGAACCCCACCCCTTGCGCATGCACCCTATATGCGAGGCAGAGACTCAAAAATCAGCTGGGCAGCGGGAAGTATGCGTGCATGCGCGGTGGAGCTGAGCTGGGGTGTTGGCTCACGTGTCTGTGCCCTGCGTACCATCACGGATATAGAGAGAGTTGAGTTTGGGCAAGTTTTCTAGTTTACACTAGCTAGTAGCTTTCGTGTGTTTGCATAACATCTGTTCCCATTTTTAGAAGCTTTTGACAGAGCATATTTACTCAGTAAACCAATTTAATTTGCTCTGAGATATTTTGGTCTACCCTGCAAATATGAGTATTAAATGTCCTTATGAAAAGTAGCCACTGTGTGGTGTGTACAAGAGACATTTCAAAACTCAAATACCATCGCTCTCAAGTTAGAGAGAATCCATTAATTCTATCTTAGCATGTAAATTAAGAATCGGATCTGTAGGATTCAGGGATGAAGGCAGATAGAGAGGCCAATACGTTCAAATGAACCCACTCCCTCATTTGTTTGCAGAAGAATTCATACCCATCAACTATATTCTAAAAGTTCCTGCTATCAAGAATGCAGTCTGCACAAAGGGGGAGATCCCCTCCAAAAGGAACCACAAGATAGTAAGGAAGGGAGAAGAACAGGGAAAACCCTGGGGAAAGGTACAGAATAATAAAAATAATAGTCTGAAGAAAAGATACTACAACCATAAAAATAGGAAGAAAAGAAGAAGTTAGGAGAAAGGGGAAGAAGAAGAAAATTGATTAAAAGTGGAATTCATGAGACCCCAAAAGAGAAAATGGATAAAAGAGGAAGAAGGGGGAAAAGAGTTGTATTGGTAGATTAAAGGGAATAGTATTGTGATTGGTAATGCTATGCAACTAATTAAGAAATAAAGAAAGTATATTGTTAATTGTAGGAAAAAAAATGAAAGAAATGCTCTCTATGTCAAAACATAACTAGAGAATATATATTGTTTATAGTAAAATAGACCAATAGAGAAATATGAAACAATAATTTGGTGCAATTTTTGAAGGGGCTATTGAAGATATTGTTTATGTACTAAGAAAAAATGAGCATTAAAAATGGGAAATAATGGAAGAAAATAATTTGGATGAAAGTGAAAACCAAGCTATGATGTAAAATGGATTATGTAAATGAGAGGATGTAAAAGGGAGGACTCCGTAAACACTTTGTTTCTATAATATGTGTAAAGTTGCATTAAAAATAAAAAATAAAAACTTTGAAAAGAACGCAGTCTGCAGAACTGTGACCAGTACACATATGTACTGCAGATAGAGCTTTCCCTTACAAATAGGTATTCAGGATTCCTATCTATTGGGTGAATGATTGGTTGATGTTTCTTGAGCAACAACAAATAAAGTCATGCTTTCATGTGAAATCAGAGGAACAACAAGTGGAAAACAAATGATCTAATGTAAAATCCAGTTCATATCTGGCCAAAGCACACTTCTCATGTGTATAAATCATCGCCGTCTGTTTTCTTAAGTTTTCTTAAAGTACATTGGAGATATTATAGAAGACTTTCCTTCTTAAAAGGGCCAGAGAATTTTCTGTGAAAAAGTGTTGCCCAGGGGGGGGCAGACGTAAGGGCTCTAAAAGCACAACTTTGCTTGGAGAAATTTCGCTAATTATTTGTGATACCATTGGTGACTTTTTCAAGTAAATTGCTTTATTACTGTTTATAAAGTTCGAACTCTTGACATGAATCCCCGTCAGAGGTGGGTTCCTACCAGTTCGCACCTATTCAGTAGAACTGGTTCGTCAAATCTACCGAANCATTTGCATGCTTCTGAATTGCTAGGTTGGAAGGAGCTGGGACGAGTGACAGGAGAATTTCTAATGTTGGGTTTTCCCCCTTACCAGAGGGAGCTCCCTTGTGGAGTACTGTGAAGCCGTTACCATGGCAACTCCACAGCGCTGTACAGTAGGAGCCATTTAAGGCACAACAGGCTGTATCTTAACAGAACATACACCCCGAGAGGTGTTAGGGGTGTCTTATCCCCACAGTATTTGTTTCCAGAGAGTAAGTAATCTATGTACCAAGTTTGGTTGAAATGGCTTGAGGTGTTCCAGAGTTATGCTGGAACACACACCCACACCCACACCCACCCACACACACACACAAACGATAAAACCATGTGTCAGTAATTGATGTTTCAGTAACATTTTTCTGAAAGCCTTTTCATCTGCTATGAAGAAACAAGGTTTTACCATACACCACTTTGATTTTTTTTAATTAGGAGATGTAGAAAAAATATTTACTCACTGCCACTGCACTATTGCCAATTTGAAGATTTTTCTATCTGAACATATGTTATACAGTGAGAAGAATACCCAAGTCCTGTTACATATGAAAAGATAGCATTAACATGTACATATATGTTGTTGATAGAAATGCATGCAAAGCAACAGGTTTCACTTACTTTTTGATATAGCAGACAGCTAAAACCATTGCAGCTGCACAGAAGAAGAGGGCAAGCACCAGAAGCACGATAGGTACAGCTGGAAAGAAGAAAGAGGCAACTTTGAAATCTTGGAGATTAAACAATTTTTAAAAAAATTTCTGGTGGCAGTATTAATGCTTTCTGGGGGGGAAATCAAAATGCCTTTTTTTTTCTCCAGTGTTCATAGATGGGACTCAAATGGCAGAAGAATTTACACCATTCTCCACAATTGGTTGGATGCTGCAGTGGGATTCCTTTGCAGAATTTTAGGCCTTGAGCAGCTGGATTTTTCTTTCAATATGTTTCTGCCTCACTCTCTGTACGAGCCCACAAACAAGAAGAAACTAGCAAGTAAACATAGAGGGAAGTATGTAGTGGGGTACCGCAAGGCTCTGTCTTAGGCCCAGTACTCTTCAATATCTTCATCAGTGATTTAGATGAGGGGATAGATGGGGAACTCATCTAATGTGCTGATGACACCAAGCTGGTGGGAATAGCCGACACTCAAGAAGATAGGCTTAAGATACAGAAGGATCTTGACAGAATTGAACATTGGGCCCTATCTAATAAATTGAAATTCAGTGGTGAAAAAAAATAAGGATCTACATTTAGGCAAGAAAAACCAAATGCACAGGTATAGAATAGGTGGTACCTGGCTCAATAGTAGTAATTGTAAGAGGGATCTTAGACTCCTAGTGGACAATCACTTAAATATGAACCAATAGTGTACTGCACCTGCCAAAAAAACTAATACAATCCTACGCTGCATTAAGAAGAGTACTAGAATCAAGATCACATGAAATGTTAATAACACTTTATAATGCCTTGGTAAGACTGTACTTGGAATAGTGCATCCAGTTTTGGTCACCACAATGTAAAAAAGATGCTGAGAGGAGAAAGGGTACAGAGAAGAGCAACAAAGATGATTAGGGACCTGGAAGCTAAAACATATAAAGAATGATTGCTGGAATTGAATATGTCTAGTTTAATGAAAAGAAGGACTAGGGGTGATATGGTAGTAGTGTTCCAATATCTCAGGGCCTACCACAAAGAAGAGGGAGTCAAGCTATTCTCCTGAAGGCAGGACAAGAAGCAATGGATGGAATGTGAGAAGCAACTAGAACTAAGGAGAAATTTCCTGATAGTTAGAACCAGGGGTGGGTTTCAGGCGGTTCGCGGCGGTCCCCACAAACCGGTTGGTCGGCGAACCCAGAAGTAAGTAACTTCCGGGAATGCCGAAGGGTCCACCCGCCCCCCCCCCGCGTTTCTTACCCAGTTTTGACGAGTTCTGCGCTTCCACGCATGCGCAGGACCCATACAGCGCCTGCGTGATCCTCCAGGAGCAGCTGGAGCATCGCACAGACGCTAGTACACATGTGTGCACTGCGCGCGTGCACGAGGACGCCGCCGGCCCCGTTCCAACCGAACCGGTTGGAACGGGGCCGGCGGCGTCCTCGT